GGTGACGGCGGCTTGGGGCGCGGGCTCGGCGCTGGCGTCCAGGGGGCTGCCCGAGGGGCGGCCGCGGTCCATTGCAGTTTCTCGTGCCGCGCGCGCTGCAAAGGAGCGAAGGCGCGGTGAGGCCGGGGCTTAACCCGAGAGGTGCAGCCCTCCCGCTCTCCCTGCGCGCCGCCCGGCCGCCCGACGGTTTTGCCTGGGGCGCGTTTTGCCTCCCGGCGTCTGGGGAGAGTCGTGGGGCTCAGAGTCATGAGGAGGGGCTTGGTGCCGGCTTTGCTTTTCACCGACAAATTAAGCGAAAGAGCTACTCTAGCGGGGAAGAAAGACCTCAGAGGCAAAGCTCCTGTTGGGCACTTGTTCGCGCGTCGGTAACGTTATCCGGCCAGCCCTGTAGCAAAAGTGGTGTGGGTCATTGTCGCCGGCCTTGGCGGTGGCTCGCCGGCCGCCCTCGGGCCATTCGCGCTGGGGGGAACTTCCTCCGGAGGAGTGGGGGGACCCCTGGTCTCACCTCGGACTAAGGCACCCGCTATCGCTCCGATCCCGGGCACCACGAGGCCCAGGTTGGACCGGGACCCTCACCTTTCCTGGAGCGGCCGTGCGGGGCTCGGTTCCGCTGTGCGAGTGGGCGAGGGCTGTGGAGCCGGGTCTGCGTGGCCAGGGCCGCGCCGCTCACTCCATCCCCGCCCGGCGGAGTCGACGGCCACTTCCAGCCCCTACTGGCCGCGCCTTTTATGCAGGCCCCCTCGCGGCCAGGCGTGTGTCCTGCGGGCAGCGACGGCAGGTGGAGCGGAGGTCCTCGCCCACCCGAGGGGCTACGCTGGGGGCTGCGGCCGCGCGGAGCCGCCCCCTTGGCGGCGGGGGGAGTCATTAATCACTGCCCCGGGGGCGGGACCGGGGCGGGGCGCCGTCGGACCCCGCCCCTGCAGTCCTGCGCCGCGCCCAGCTTTCCCCGGGGCGGGACGCGGAGGGCTACGCGTCGAGGGTCCGCCGTGTTGGCTGCGGCTGGGGCCGTGGTCCGGGCCGGAGGCCGCCGGCCTGGCCTTTGCGAGTCACATTGCCTCACCGCAGTCCTACGCCTCCGGCTCAGTCTGATTCCAGGTCCTTTCCCCGCGGGCGTCCAGCCGGGGCGGGAGTGCTGCCCTTTGGTTGAGCGTGACTCTTACTGTTCTGTGAGGAAATGACGAGTGTGCCACATCGATGTGCTAACCTTTTATTCTACCGCAAGGTAAATGTTTCATGCCGTCCTGATTGCTTAAAGCGTAGTGCGCTGGGAGACACACCCAGATGCTCCCACTGTCTGTAACACTTTAGGAAGTTCCCAAACCAGAGTAAATGGCGCTGGGACCGTGGTCGCACCTCCTCGGGGACCCCCGCGGGGCCACCGCGTTTTCATTGCTTGGGCATAAATTCTTTCCGGGTTTTGCACCTGCGGGCCAGCAGGAAGCGTGGCTTGCAGCGGTGCGGGGAGGGACCCGATCCGAGGCTCCTTGAGAAAGCGGGCGCTGCGCCCCGAGGCCCGTTCAGAGCCGGCCCAGGAAGCGCTCGCCCCGGACGCCCCCGGCCCTCCGCGGCTTCCTCCCGTCCCGGACCCATCGCCTTCGTAGGGGAAGTCGAAGTGGACCCACAATGCTTTGTAGTAACGTTACTAGGACATACTCGAAGCAATGCCTACACTTCGGAGAGCAGGACAGTCTATCTTCCTTGGGGTCAAAACGCAGTATCAAATTTAAGATGTCACTAAAGAAACTGCTCTTGTATATACTCTTGTGTGCTTTCCAGTAGCTTTCTAAATTGGAATTACCAAGCAGCAGATAGTAATGGAGCCACTTGTTATACTCGGATGTACCAGTCCACACATTAAGTATTTTAGTGAATCAGAATAATCCTCACGCTTTCATCTCAATTCCCATCCAATAACTGTAATTAGATTTACACTTTAGAACCAAAATTCCATTGATGAAAAAGGACTTTAAGGGCTGGTCGGTTAGTCAGCTCACTCTGTAGAGTGTGGTTCTGGTAGCACCAAGGTCAGGGGTTCAGAGCTCCATACCCGGCCAGCTGTCAAAAAAAGAAGACATACTGAATGGGAAAGTACATCTTATTTTCCCAGTAAATTGTATGTAATGAAGAATAAAGCAGCTAGATCCTTGAATTCACAAGTGGAAAGCAATGTTTCAGGTTCATTCTATAGAGAAGCAAATCAAACAAAAACATAAAAGTTTTTCTTATATAATGAGATACCATAAAGCTACAAACCCAGAAAAGATGTTGTTGCCCAGTGCTATAAAGTAAAAAAATCAAACGTTTCAGATCATTTAAAGCTGAATTTACTCGTTTTCCACAAAGAAATTTTCTTTGACTTTTGGGATGTGGAGAAGGTGAGGTTTGTGTGCATCATTTTTTGTCAGCAAGCTTTCAGATTCCTTCAAGGAGAGATTCCTATATTTACAGAGAGGAAAAAAAAAACAGCGTTAAATTATTTTTAAAATGAAAGTGTACAAAAAAGGTAGCAAACATACAGATTCTAGGACACAATAAGTAAAAGCTAATGATTAGTCACCAAAGTGTGAATCTTCTCGGGATTTAAAGGAAGCAGAAACAAGGATTTTCCTCCTGGGGTAGGGAAGAACGTGAAGAATCTATGAGTTGGGAGAGGTATGGAAATAAGGATATTGGAAGGCAGCTGGGCCAGGAGTAGCGTGAGGAAAGTGAGGTGCCTGGAGCTCCTTAAATTTTGCACTCTTTGCACCTCACATGCTTTGCCCTAGCCCAGCCTGCTACAGTCTCCTGTTACTGTGGTGTGGGGAGGAGTGAAGGGACAGCAGAAGCTCTTTACTGCTAACAGTGGTGGGACAGTGGCCAGCCTTGTTGCCCTACAGTCAGGTGCAAAAGAAAGGACTGATGTAGCTAGAGTGACCCCTGCAAGCCTCCCTCTTGTCCTAGCTGCTGCCACCCCAAGCAGCCTTTCTGAAGCCTCAGATGATTCAGGAATAGTCCTAATTCCTGAAAGAAACCAGTATTTGCAGTTAAATTCAAAATATGAAAATCTTAAAACTTCCAACGTTACGTAAATTATTAACGGGTGTCACTTATTTAACATTTTATATATGCTGAGTGATTTGCAGGTATTTTCTCATTTAGTCTTTACAAAAACCCTTTGAGGATTTTACATTTTATAGTTGGAAAAATAGAGCTCAGAGAAATTAGGTAGCTTGTCCAAGGTCACATAGCTAGTAAGTGGCAGAGACAGGATTCAAGCCAGGCAGATTGACCCTAACACTTGTGCTCCTTACCATACTATTCTATTTACTATTTGTAGAATATTTCATAATTTGCAAAACATTTTTGTATCATCTCAATAAAAGGAATACTTTGAATGATTCCACTGTCTATTAATAATCCAAATACTGTTTTCATGGTATACCATTCTTTGGAATTCTTAATTATCTAGTCTTCTAAAAAGGACATGGCTTTAGAGTACTGTAGATTTTATTTCACTGACTTTGGTGTAGGTCTTAAAATTATACTTAGGTCTTTTCTTCTAAATATGTCAAGTAATTTGCAATATTAACTTGTCAATATTATCCTTGTAAAATAATCACACATATCAGTGAAGAATATAAATTGCTGATGGATAAAATATATTTTTATAAAAAATATAAATATGAATATAAAACAATTGGTTAGTTGATGCTTTTTTCACTTTTCAACTGTTTCCTTCATTGTTTAAATTGTTATAATTTACATAGGTAAATTCACCCTTTTGAGTCTATGGTTCGGGAAGTTTTGATAAATGTGTATAGTCTTGTAACTACTACCACAATAAAGATAGAAATATTTCCCTCATTCTCCCAAATTCCCTTGTACTGATTCTTTTTATAGTTAACCCTTTCCCACACCCCCAGTCCCTGGCAGCTACTGATCTGATTTCTGTCTCTGTGGTTTTTTTGCCTTTGCCAAAATGTCATAAGCATACAGTTTGTAGCCTTTTGGGTCTGGCATAATGCTTTTGAGATCCATCCATGTTGTTGAGCACATCACTAGTTCATTTCTTTTTATTGCTGAGTATGTCATTGTATAAAGATACCACAGTTTGTTTATCCATTCCCAGCTGAGACACCTTTGGTTTTTTTCCAGTTTTTCATGATTACAAATAAACTATTATAAACATTCAGGGACAGGTTTTTGTGAAGTTTTCATTTCACTTGGGAAAATACCTGGGAATGGGACTACTAGATGTGGTAAGTGTATATTGAACTTTTTAAGAATATGCCAAACTCTTGTCTAAAGTGTCTGTACTAGTTTTGCATTCCCATCAGCAATGTGTGAGAGTTCCAGTTGCTCCATATCCTAGCCAGCATTACTAGTTTTTTTTTCTTTTTATCCATTCTGTTATTTTTTTATTAATTGAGCCAATATTTTTAAATCATTTCACAATCTAGATATCTCACTTGCCAACTGGTATGATTTCTCAAATTCAGCATGTCCACCTGGCCACACTGTTCTGGAACTGAGCTGCAGTTGCCTTTAGTGTTGAGCATGTGTTCTCCAAGTCATTTTAGTCTCCTCCTCACCAGCTTGCTTCACTTACTGTACCTGAGTGCATTTTTGTTTAAGACTGTCTAGCAGAGTAGTTAAGAGCTTGCTTGTTGGAGTCAGTGACTTGGGTTCACGTCCTAGCTCTGCTCATGGCGACTATGTAAACTTGGGTACTTCTCCAAGACTCATTTTCCCATCTCTAAAGTGGGGCTGATAGTATTTTTATCTTGAAGGGTTCCACTGTTTTTTAAAATTTGTTGGGTAATGAAGATTCAGCTTCTAAAATATAGACATTTTAAAATGGAAAATAACTAATATAGTTCTTCTGAATGGACTTTACATAACTCCTGTTCACAGAGTAAGCCATTGACAGAGTTGGGACTAGAAGTCACAAAAACTAGCTTAGTCTGTTCTAACTAAAAAAACTTTATGTCGCTTACCACTATTGATTTTTTTTTTGGGGGGGTATCCTAATTTCAAAAGGGTTCTTAGAGAATTGCAGATCAAGATGTTAACATTATACCTACATGACTGAT